GTCCCCCCACTTGGAAATTTCGAAAAATCCCTTCTTAGTGTGCATTGCCATGACTTACCCTACTAAAACGCAGATAAAAACAAAAAATCGCATTTCAAATAGTACAGTAGAAGCCGTTTTTCCGGTTAAGCCTTAATGCTCTCCCCGTCCCCCCACTTGGAAATTTCGAAAAATCCCTTCTTAGTGTGCGTTTTCATGACGAACCCTAACTGTTTACCAAATTTCTGCTCTTTAGGTCCAGCGGTTTGCTCTGGGCGATGATGAATCAGTGAGTGAGTCAGTCAGTCAGGACAAGCAATTTTATATATATAGATAAAAGAATCCATACATATTTCAATCGATAGCTTTAAACTATTAAATAAAATCATTTCTGGTATATATGAAATAAGTTCGGTATATTGCGAATTAAAATGTTGTTAAGACATTATCACTTATATATGATTTGATCGAAAGTAATACATTAAAATAATGTAAATATCATTTAGAAGTGCGTGATTTCTAGCGTAGCATTTTCTTTATAGTGTTTTGAATAATTTTCTGGTTCCTCCTTGATGCGATTGAATTTCTCCTCTACTTCATTTATAACTTTGTCTTCGTGATTCTCATTATCCCGATCAATATACTTGAATATTCCTTTAGAGAATCTTCGTTGGATCTCTTCGTCGTACTTTTTTCACATATTATTCGTTTTGTTTCAATATTTCAATGAGCTCACGTGAATTACAATTGGGTAATTTTCCTCCATAGGTAATTGGAAGATATTCTGGATGAATACATTTTTGCAGAGTCGTTATTTCTCTACGTGTAAAGCATTTTTTAATGTTAACATATTAATTAAATTGAATTAAAACTAAATATTTCTATTCAATTGACTATCTATAAATGAAGTTAACCTTAAATTAAATTATTAATAGGATATAATTTCGTTTTTTTAAAAGATTTACTTCATAAACTCTAAAAAAATACAGTAAATCAAGTGTTTGTCCTAGAATTAACATTTCTAGCTCATAAAATAAGCTAATTAATGTTGTAATCCCGTCTTGATTGTATTCACTGTTAATTTTTGTGTCTTCGAAAAATATAATTTATGCAAAAAAAAAAAAAATTAAATAAGTATTCATGCAAATTATCGTTATGACAATAAATATTTGTTTTGTATTAATAAATATATGCAATAAATTAGTTTATCAGTTACTTGCCTTGAAGTGATTGATTAATGTGATTGAAATCGTTTTTAATGTTTATTATCTGTTCTACATATGTAAAATACTTAGCTTATAAATTTTTAAGCTAGTCAGGACACTTTTGTCACGTTAAAAACAAAGTACAAATGGCGGCATCGTAAATGGATGAATTTCTACCAAATTTTTTAAGAAGAATTTAAATTAAGAGGTGGCTCTGGATAAAGGAAAAGAGTGTATTGGTCCGAGGATCTTGGAGAAATTGAGCAAAGAGACCAGAGAAAGTGGAGTTGGTCCGAGAGGCAGTGATATGTTATGGCTTCGTGATGTCTTAGGCAAATTTAAATTAGGGGGCTCCACGTAGAGTGTTGACTTCAGACATTTTTCTTCGGGAAGTAGTAACTAATAATATTCTTAAGATATTTACAGTATTAATAGTGGTAAAATACAGTAAAAAATCTGTCCAAAACAAGACCTTAATAAAGCGAAAATCTGCTTAAAACGTAAAAATTCTTCGGAACGGAGCAATTTTCTACGTGAAAAAGAACCTGTTCGAAAAGGAAACCTGCCAAACCGGAAAAAATATTGCGGTTTACACAACGAAATTAGATTCTCCCTTCCTTATTAACCAAAGTATTTCCATTCGCCCAAGGTGAGAAGCATGAGCTGTAATTTAAAATAATATTAATAATTAATAACAAGTGTTCAATGTATGGAGTGAACTGTACTGTACGTTGTGTAAACATTAATTAATGTCTTAATAAACAGATATGGAAGTCATAAAAGGTTATTAAAGGGATCCGATATATTCACTGATAACAGTAGCAAAGTTTATTATGAAATTCAAAGTAATAAAGGTTCAGAGTTCATTCGATATTATCTGGAATGTTTGTCGATATCTAAAATTCTCTCATTGCTCTAGTTTAGCTGATTATGTTAAGTTTACTCGATTTTTCATTCGAACGAAATTAAACAATTTCCTTCGAATGTTGGATTTCTTAACCTCTACTAACGAATAATTAGTACTGGCAAGTACGCATGAAGCAAACTTCCATTAAAATCTGATTATATTTGAAGTGAAGAAATATTAGAAGTATTTAATATCAATATTATGGAATTCGATCCCGTATACACCAGAGGAAAATCTACTCGACTTTATGAGTTTTTCATGAGCCAAACCTACGATGGGTATGAGAAAAAATGTCCTCATAGTACTGAGCAGAAAGAGTAAAAAATTTAATACGTTATCTTATTATCAAAGGTTAAATAATGAGATAACTTTGTTACATATACTATAAATCAGTTCTTCATATTCGGATATAGAAGCAACACTCTTTTGGATGTAAAAAATGGATGGATTATACAAAATATTTCCTGAGGAGAGTGAAGAATTTCCATGGGATGAAAGAGCACTTGAAGATTTTAAAAAACTTATAAGTAAGTACTGTATTATAAACTGCGTAATGTATTATAGAATGTACCAATAATTTGACTAGTCACCAGTTTAACTATTGTAACTATTTATATAAGCCTATACAAGTAGACCCCCCTATAACACTGTAGATAATTCCGTGTTATATGAATTCCATGTTGTTACGAGTCACTTAGATTTTACAAATATTTGTGCCGTTCTGTTCCCGGCTCATGTATTTGTAAAATCTAAGTGACTCGTACAACATGGAATTCATATAACACTGAATTATCTACAGTTTTATAGGGGTCTACTGTATTGTAATTATATGTGCAGAAACTGTAGTTTATTTTTTAATTAGAGATCGAATTTAATAACATTTTAATAAATTAAGGAAATTCAGTATCAATAAATAGATATAAAATATCATTTTAACTTGTATAAATTTTTGCCATTTTAACACGCAACCCGTGATTTGTTTATCTCTTGCTATCAAGAGACATAAAGTTCCTAAATGTATATTTTTAAAATGTTTTTATTAATAGGATCACTCATTATTTTATGTTTTATTTTTTTGAAAATAAACAAATGTAGGCCTACCACTTTTTCAAAATGTTTTTTTAGATGAAAATGGAATAAAATGCAGAATGGACGACATATTTTTGCTTGGATTTCTTCGTGCAAGAAAATTTAATCTAGAAGAATCTCTTCAGTTGTTGAAAAACTATTATTCTAGAAGAATCGAATATTCATCGTTTTTTAAGAATCTTCTTCCATCAAAATTAGAAGGAATTTTACATTTAAACTGTTATAAAATCTTACCAAAACCTGATCAAAATGGTAGAATTATTGGATTAATAGAAATCAGTAAGTTTTGTAAAACTTTTTTTATTTTAATTTTCTTTTAATTTATGATGTTAGTTTCCAAGAAACCAAACTAAATTTTTTTAATAGCAATTTTGTCCGATGTTTATGAATGTAAAGAGCAAAATTTTATTATATTGTAACGAATACACTCCTTGAAAAGATACATACAGGTGCTTTCAGAAGCTTCAGGAGCAGTTTTCTGAATTATGAATCAGATTAGATAACTAGGATTAGAAGTGTTACATGTGGCTGTGTTTTATGGAGGAACACATGATGAGAAAGTACTGTTTCTTTCGTTTCAATTCTCTAAATGTTGTTGTGTACAGTATTAAAATACTGTACAGTGTTCCCTTAACCCTCTAGTCGTCCGATTGGTGAGATTCTCTCACTTTGTCGGTGTATGGCTTAATCGTGAATAGAGGGTCTTATGATGCGAATGGGGGAAGTCGCGGGTAAGTTCGATCGGTATCCGTATAAATATCAATTGAACAGACAGGTGACTTATTTTTCTATGCTGTTCTTTACAGCCTCAAGCCAAACTTCTTCTAATACGTAATTGCAGACTTCACTATAGTGTCTTTCAACGCCTGTTTTATTAAGTAGAGACCGTCAGCTATAGTGAAGGCTTTTCAAAACTAAATTACGCTGAAGTTCTCGTGTTGTGTAAGGCTTCAACCACATTAATTTTAAAGCCGTTTAAAATTTGTAATTAAAAGAATAAATGGCCAAGAGAGTAGTATTAGAAGGTTTGTAAACAACCTATACTTTGTCTTCGGTAATACCTATTAGCAGATCGCTCTCGAAGTGCACTCTCTTATACCGCCGACTAATCAACCAATTGCATGCAATATACATAGAGGATGAAACATTTATTATTAAACAGTATTTGAATTTTCTTTTATTTACAGAACAATGGAATCCATCAGAAACACTCGTAATACATTTGTGTCGTGCTTCATTCCTTTCCCTAGAGTTACTATTGAATTTACATCGAATGCAAGAGAATGGATTGATTGTAATTATAAATACTCAAGGAATAACCTTAAGGCACATGTTACAAATTACACCAAGATTCGCGAACACTATGATATCTTTAATATTTGTAAGTAATAAATTATTTAAGTCGTGTGTTTTTGTATTTAAATTTCATATTAAAATATACTTAAAGAAATTTGAAGTTTCATAAGATTTAAAAAATAATGATAATTTATGTAAGTTATTTATACGATTTGTAAGCTGATAATTTTACACAATATTCCCTGATGTTTAACAATCTGAAGATTGGAAACGTTCGTTACGATTAATAAATAATTATCAGTGAGCTAACGTGTTTTTCTCCGGATAATTTCGACTGTTCTCCATCTGTATGTCAGTCTGTCCTTCTTTAATCTCGAGAATGGAGTTGGATACATGAATGTCGAGATTGAAATGCAAAGCGTAGGGGCAGTGGGACCAGAGTAAATATACAGGTACTTCAAGTTTAGAATGGATGTCACGATAATTCGATCGATTCAAAATTTCTCCTGAACGAAGTTGGATAGATGACCGGCCCGAATCCACTGCTAACAGGAAAAGTATGATGTACAGGGGCAAAACAACCGGTAAAAATTGAGAACATTGTGACAAAAAGTTGCAGCCCGGCATTATGACGATTCAATAAATAATCCCTCATTAGAATTAGTTTGGCTTATTTGGTTACTGCAGTGCCACGCGTGAGAGATCTGACGTGGGATCATCCCAGGAAAACTTTTCATGGGAAGCTGGAACCTATTTAGGTAAAGAAAAACCGAAAAACTTTACGTTTCCTTGCCCGATCCTACGACTAACTAACTACCAGAATTCAGTCGTTTTGTGCACTCGGCTACTGGAGAGCGTTTATTAGAATAAGATAGAAAGTGCCATTCAAAAATGAAAAAACCCAATCATTAGATGTGGAAAATGAAATACTTATATATTTTTCACGGGGTAACTTGTTTGTTTGTTTGTCAAGTTATGGCAACGCAACACTTAGGCGATCTGCCTAAGGGGGAATGAATGCCTTCCGGGAGGTCTTTTTCAGGGAAACTGGCACCTATTTAGACGTTACAGACGTGGAGAAAACCCGAAAAACTTCACGTGACCAGTACTGTACGTCTGAGCGAGGCTCTAACGCACGACCGAACTCCCAGTGTTCAGGGTACGAAGAAGATCGCTTGGCCACTGGTGGGCCTGCTTCACAGGGTAACACTTTCGATTGCATGCAGACTAGCGCAATATGTTACCTGTCGCAGTAATTATATAGCTCGTCTACTTCGCGCTATATAATTATTGTGACTACGACGCGTTATATAATTTATAAAAATTATATTTAGTTTATTATTTTGTTAAATTTTATCCTAATAGATGGCGCCACGTGTAAATCAGCAATTCGACTGTAGATAGAAATTAATTGATTTACAGAAATGCAATAGATATTTTCAGGTCGGATGTACGACATTATGTAAGTTACGGGTATAGAAACGTAACTGCTAAGTTTCGTAGCAATTGGCCGAACGGCCTAGTAGTGTACAGCGAACAAACAAACAAACATTCTCATTTATATATATAAATTAATAGCTTACATTATTGAAATTTAATAGTGAATATCCAAAAATCTTGGTTACGTCTTGGTAATATTACTTTAAATGTAACTTTAAATATAAAAGTGCCTTCCAATTTATAACAACTTTTTTTTAATTTTGTATTTTAGAGGAATTCGAGTCAAATACGAATCAAAGAAATTCATTACGTTAATGTAAATCGGATTGTAAAGATACTTGAGACAATTTTAATGCCATTACTTCCTGTAAAAATACAAAAACGAGTAAGTAATTTTTTATTTAAATATAATAAACGTACAACAGATTACATATAATAATAATAATATATTCTTATTTGTGTCTGTTCTACCTTCTGAATCTGACTTGTGAGAGATCCAGAACATTGAATATTTTAATATTCTTCAGAATCGTTCTTAGGTTACGTAATAAACTTTGAAGTATTAGGCTAATAATGCTTGGAATTTGTGAAATTAACTCATGCAATCGTTAGTAAATTAAGATAGATTTAATAAAGTGGAATTGGTTTCGAAAGATTCGAATTTAAATAGGGTGTATTAGGAAAAAATATAAACCTAAATACTTTGGAAAGATAATAGTATATAAAAAAATAAGTCTACGTGAACATATTGATATATATTAATATTAATAAAGATAAAACAGTGTGAATATTTTAGTATTTCATAAGTCAAGTGTTAATGAGCAGTTATGGTTGCAGTTACAGTCCTGATGATACATGGCCGAATGAGTGGTTTATCAGAGGAGATCTTCGGCATCGATTAATTTTTGAACACGTCGTAATAAACTGTGTGTACTTCTTTAAATTCCTTTTGATAATTGCGACAACATTTCTTATCCGGACAATAAGTTGAGAGTCTCTGCTCTCAGTACATCTACTTCTTCAACCAGCATCATACACGGCTCCACGTGTTATGCGGAAGAAGAACTGTGAAAATAAACTCGGTATATTTACTGACGTCTGCACATATTTTTTGAAAAACCATCCATTTCCAAACACGGGTCCTCGTAGACAATTTTACTTATCTTATTATCAGGAATAATCTTTCAAAATATTTATCATTTCTTCTGATTTGCCATATATTGATATTTACTGCATTACCACAAAAGCTAATTATACAAAATTAATAAACGTTTCACTTGTTTTATTCGAATTTTATTACTAAAAATAATTTTCTGTGGCGTAAAGACTATAAAAGTAAATTATTATTATTATTACTTCAAATTAACGATTCTTTACAGATATTTCTTCACAGTGAAATGACTGCTTTACACAAATTTATACATCCAAAATATCTTCCTATTGAATATGGAGGGGAATTAACGAATTTAGATCCAAATGAATTCATTAATATAGTAAAACAAAACGAAGATTTCTTTCGAAAAAACGAAGAATATGTTAAAATGTTTGAAGAATCAACACAGCAAAGATTTTCTAAACGAAGATTTAAATATATTGGTTCAGATATAGTAAACCGCAAAGAAATACTTTTAGAAAATTCAGAAAAACAAGACATAGAAAATTCTCTCGTTGAAGTTAAATCTATGAATGGTGATATTTAATAACTTAATGTATTATTTACGATATAATTCCATATTATATTCTTGTTTATGATGTTATAGGGGAGATCGGGGCAACTTCGGCATGCGGGGCAAGTTTGTCAAGCGCTTTTTTTAAAAAACAAATTAAAAGGAGACTTTGGTTATAGGTTAGGCAGTTGAGTTTTATTGGTGGCTTGTTGAGTGTAGTGTTTTTATTGTTCTCCAACAAGCGTAGTTGAATTATCAAGCAAATTTTCATTTTCGTTCAATTCCATATAATATTTTTTTTCCATTTATATTGAATTGGCAGGTTTTGTTATAATTCCATGATAACGAAAGTTACTTTTCCTGTTAGAAGGATGTAACTTCAACTTATTCACGTGGCCAGATCGTGGCTTGGCATTCTGTTCTCAGGGTTGTACTTAATGTTTCGAAATCATGACTAGCGGGGTAAGATCGGCAACATAAAGCCACATTAGAAGCAAAGGATAAAAATCAAACAGATGATAAATGAAAACATGTTTGCATTTGTTATTCATGTATATATGTCTTTGAACTTGCATTTCGTTGTAATAATATTAAATGGGTGTTGGATTTGTATTTCTTTGTTTTAATAGTGAATTCCAACTTATACATTGTTAATAACATAATTTTATATACGTGCCTATCTTGCCCCATTACTGTTGCCCCTATACCAGGGGCAACTTTAATAAAAATAATTAAAATAATTACAACTTTACAAAAAGAGAGAAGTTGCCGATCTTGCCCCTATACCCGGGGCAACTTCGTCAATTTCTCTCTTCTTGTAAAGTTGTAATTATTTTAATTATTTTTATTTCCAAACTGATTTTAACCAGTTCTATAGTAAGGTAACATTCCAATAGACAATATGCAAAGCTTTTTTTTCAGTTTACAGCAGTATTTATTACACAAAATTTAAGTAAAGCTTAACATGCCGATCTTGCCCCGATCTCCCCTATAAAGTAAAACATTTTGAGTATTATATAACTTTTAATGTAGAGAATTTATTTACAGTATGAAATACATTCAATATCTATCATCAGTAAATTTAACGTCTCTAAATTAATATAAAGGTATATTATTACATGTGTCAGTTATAACAGTAGGTAAATTCTTCCCAAAAGAAGGGATCATCAGTCATTGGGATGATCAGTCAATCAATCAAAGGGGATGATTATTAGTCTTTAACAACAATCCAAATTCCGACTTTCCTTCGATACTTGTTTGCACTGACATTTGTAAAATTTAAACACAATGAAGAACTTTCAATGTAAAGACAATTTTACTTTTTCACCAATGATTGTCAACCAGAGGATGGTCAACGACTACTAATTAATATCTGTCTACTATTAATATTTGAAAAGTGATCCGTGTTAGACAGGTCGTGATGGCCCCGCAAGTGATTGAACTTGCTAACCTTAACGTTCGAAAGATTTGCTATATGACATGTTTAAATTTAAAAAATCTTGTAAAAATCCGATAATAATTGCTTTTATGTGATAATAAAGTGTTTATATTTATACAACAGATTGTATAAACTACGTGGGAAGTATATTCTTGTAAATATCGCGTTTGTAGAAAAATTATTGGCCTGCAATTTGAAAGAACTGCAGACCTATAAATTTCCACTGTCCTCCCTCTGTCTGTCCTTCCTTAATATCGTGAAAGGCGTTAGATGGGGAAATCTTAGGCAGGAGGCCCAAAATAACTATATATAAACTTCCGGTTTAGGTGTTACTTTAATTCAAAAAATTCCCCGGAACGGAGTTAGATTGATGACCGACACGACTCTATTGTTAACAGGAAAAGTATGATGTGCAGGGGCAAGACACCACTATTCTAGATTTCCGAAAAAGTAATTGTAATTTCCTTTCTGTAAGTTAATTAACTTTACGTTATCTTTATGTGTATATACAATAAAGAGAGAATATAAGAAATATTTTGTAAATTTTATTGCAAAATTTGTAAATAATCATAATTTTCAATTATTAGTGCCTGGAGAATCTATAAAAGGTTCGGCTGCGATATTATAGGAAAGATGGCCCACCAGTGACCAAGCGGTTCTGTTCCCTGAATACCGAAAGTTCGGTCGTGGGTTCTCACCTCGCCAGGACAGACCGGCCAAGTGGAGTTTTCCGGATTTTCTCCATGTTTCTAATGCCTAAATAGAGGCCACTTACTCTTAAAAGACCTCCCGAAAGGCATTTTCCCCGGATCTTCGAGTGTAATTTCGTATGGTTCTCTTCGAAGGATAAACGACTATGTAAACAACCTCCATATTAACTCCGATACGAGAAAAAGAGTTATGGGAAAGATGTTAGTAGAATTTGGTCTACGTTTTCTTACTCGAAACAAAGTTTACATGGGTTAGTTGTCGGAATAAATTTGGACAGAAGTGTCTTGGATTGAGTAGTCGAATGACACGTGAGTAATTTCATTATGTATTTGAAATCGTATGAGGTCTTTAACGAAAAAATAAATGGATGACCATCTGACAGAGCGGTTAATGTGATTGATCGATCGATTGTACAGGGTTAAAGAGAAATATGTTTTCCTCTTCAGAGAACTCTGGAATGCGTTCTACTGCTAATTCAAACGATGCGCTTGACATTTCTTAAATAAAATATAATAGTACAAAAATCCGTCGATAGGTGGCGCTGGAGCACATAAAATTATTGAATATGCAGTCACATATAAATGACTATAATAGTTGTTTTATCACTAACAAATTATTCGGAAAAAATTATCCATAATTTAATAAAACTGAAATAATGAAATCAAATCTCATCAGTTTTTTTTTTTTCAAAATTCGAATACGTCTTCCACAAAGGACAAATGTGCAGTAGTACCTTGTAATATCGATCAATCCACAGTTAGAGATAAATAGTTCCGATCGGAACTGCTTCGGACTCGAAACTACTAGAAACAGTTCCATATAGAGTCGTTATAGTCAGTTCCATATACCAACACGTTCTTCATTTTGTAATTTTATAAATATACGGACCCACCAGTAGCGAAGCGGTCTTCGTTTCCTGAACACTGGGAGTTCGGTTGTGGGTTGGAGCCTCGCTCGGATGGGCTGGCCACGTGGAGTTTTCCAAGTTTTCTCTACGTCTGTAACGCCTAAATAGGGGTCAGTTTGCCTTAAAAAGACTTCCAGGAAGGCATCTTCCCTAGGCAGATCGCCCAAGTGTTGCATTGCTATAACTAAACAAACAAACAATGAATACAGCTTTTTGAACTCTTTATTTGGATTTGAACATAAAACTAATTGACAACGTTTCAGACTTTTTACCTATATACCTAAATTGTATTTGTATGTAAGTACGTATAGTATGTAAGTATGTATATATATATACATACTTACATACTATACGTACTTACATACAAATACAATTTTCTTGGATTTCTTGGAACCGTCTACTCCAAGGATTATCAACTTGTGTTCCGCGGAACCCTAGGGTCCCATTAATAAACTCCGTTGAGTCTAGTGATGTATGAATTTGCCAATGCAAATTGGGGTATGAGTGTAATTGTTCTAATCACGTATTGAGTCTTCTTATGACGTCCTAAACACGTGCTAGAGTTATTTATTACTTTATAAACAGTGGGGACAGATCTATCGGTAACAGGACGAACCGAAATCGCAATGTAATAGTTGAGAAGATAAAAGCCATAAAACCGGTAAAATTTCACTAAAGCTAGAAAATATTATAATTAACTAATTAATTAATGTCCCATCATCAGTAGCGTGTTGGAGCGCAACTGTACAGCGTACAAGCGGGCATATCAGTTAAAAATTATTAGAGTTTTTCACTGCAATCGTTTTTTGATAGGCTACATACGTATATTAAATTCTATACAAATAAATTTCTGCATTAATAAATTATAAAATAATTTAAATAAAGCAAATTATAATATTTTATTATTAAAAAATTACAAAAACAAATATTTCAAATGTATATAGATAATTCAAGATAACATTTTTTGTATTTTTTCACATGTTTACATACAAAAATTCAGTCGTTGGGATGAAAGAAATTTTAAAATTTTTCTTCTAGATTTTCTTAGTTTTATTCTCAATGTTGTTGTATAAATGTGAAATTAAAATTACCTTTTATTTATATGTAATTTAAAAGTGTGTAATGTCACATTTTGAATCTTCTTTCAAAGAATTTAAGAAACCTTCAGGATCCTTGTAATAATAATTGAAATTATTCTCTGATTTTTCTATAAATTCTTTCAGTTTATCATTTTCGTAATCTTCACTAATATAATTAAATCTTCCATTTATTACATTTCTACTACTAATTTCGTAATGTTCGATATACTCTTCATTCTTACGAAAGAATTCTTCATTAACTCTAAGCATATTATTGGCTTCAGTCGGATCAAAAGTTGGCAAAATTCCTCCGAATTCCATGGGCAGACATTCTGGTTTGATGAATTTGTGCAAAGTTTCCATATCAGTGTGAAAATGCAACTGTAATAACGAAGTATATTTTCAATTAAAATAGTATTTATATACACAAAGTTGATATTTTTAAATATGGATTAAATTTATAGAATACTCCAAACACAATGTACAAATTTTAAAATAAAATAAGCACATTGTTTGGCACTGAAAACCCTAAAAAGAAAGATCACCACGACTCGCGATTTTCACGATCTTCCTCAAGAAAAAGATCATGAGATTTCATGATCTTCCTCATCAAGATTCTCATCATGATTCTCATGATCAAGAGGAAGATCTCATGATCTCATGATCTTCCTCATCAAGATCCTCATCAAGATTCTCATGATCAAGAGGAAGATCTCATGATCTTCCTCAAGAGGAAGATCATGAAATCTTTCATGATCTTCCTCAAGAGAGATCATGAGATTTCTCATGAGAAACATCAAGAAACTCATAACAATTCCGAATCCGAATTCTCGCCTACCTTAATTCACATAAGATTTATTATTTTAATATTCTAAACAACCGTAAAGTGTTAATTAACACAAGAAAATTTCATTTACTTACTCTGCTCTTGAGTTTATGTGGTAAAAGTGGAATTATGATACTTAAAATTGCTTTCATTATAATATTCAAATTCACATAATGTAATTCCTCGTATCGAAGTTGATACGAATCTTTCTGTTAAAAACAATAATTTTTAATTTATAAATCTTAACAATGGGAAGATATTGTTTAATATTAAGACAATTTATTAGTTACACAATTTTTTAAATAAAGGATGGTAATGTGTAGCATAAAAACGACATCAGCTGAAATACTGAAGAATAGTTTCAATGTATTTATATTCATTCTGATTAACAGTTTTATTTACTAAATTATTTGGTATTTTATATACGCATAATCATAGAATACTTACAAATACAATGGAAATCATTGAATTGAGGAGTCTTGGTGAAAATTGGAGGAAATGAGATAAAGATAATCCCTCCGCATTTACAATAAGAACGATGCTATTGACTTGAGTCCGATGAAAATTTAATTGGAAATCCATAAAAAGCATGAAAGCGCGAAATAAATCAGTTAAATTTAATACGGTAGTATCCCAATTACCTAAAAACAAACATTAAATTTTATTATAAAATTATATCATTTTAATTAAACATTATATATGAGATACTTCGATAGAATTCTCTACTTTCTTTTGGAATCATGTATTTTGTACTACAGTCGACCCCTATAACACTGTTGATTATTCCGTTTTATATGAATTCCATGTTGTACGAGTCACTTAGATTTTAGAAATACGTGTACCGGGCTGTGAACGGCTCACGTATTTCTAAAATATGTGTCTCGTACAACATGGAATTCATATAAAACGGAATAACCAACAGTGTTATAGGGGGGTCGACTGTACTTCATGACTTGATGTGATAACTGACACTCACTCTGCCCTCCATAGAACTATATTACAATATATTAAAACGCTAAATTTCTTTGTTTTACATTATATTATACAAATAAATACAATAAATAAGTAGCAACTGACTTTTCAGGTGGCGGGATAGTAAGGGACAAGATCCGATATATCCGAGACACACCATGCGTGGTAAATTTCATGATATTATATAATAAATTTATTATATACAGCCAAAATTTTAAATTGTTAATGTATTGCAAGTCTTATTGGAGTGCAGTATAAATGTCTATTATCATACCATAATACCAACTTTCTATTATAAGCAAATACGCATAGAGTAATGTTTAAAACGAATCAATGTGACAAATAAATATAAACAAATTACAGTATATGTAAATTTGAATTTAAAAATAAAAAAAAAAAAAGCTTGATTTACCTAATTGGCAAATGTATATATATCTTCCTTTCTGATCGGGTTTTGGTAGAAATTGCATGCAATTTAAGGATAAAGCATGCTCCAACTTGGAAGGAAGAAGGTCCTTAAAATATTGAGGATAGCTTGTTCTAATTGTATAGTAATTCTTAAGCAATTGAAGAGATCTTTGTATATCGAACTTTCTAGCTCGAAGAATTCCAAGAAGAAAGATATCATCCATACAACATTTCATCCCTTGATCCTCTGTTTACAATAATGAAATTTTATTTATTAATTAGATTTTATAAAAAAAAATGTATTATTTTTTTCAATAAAAATAATAGTAATATTAATGTATTGTAATATATGTCTGTAAGATCCGTAGAAAGGGACCCTCTCGTATAACACAGTACCGTACTTTTACAACACGGTTTGAAAATTGAGGATTTTTAACAATTTTCTTCATATTCATATAAAAATTAATATTATTATTTTACTAAAAACATTTTAAGACTATGTATTTTATTTGTTTAAGAAATTAAACAAAAGAGGACCGCTCTTCCTCAGGCCCTTCACCAAGTTTTCGAAAGCCCTAAGTTCGAGTTTCTTGTAACGAACGAAGTGAGTATAAGGCACTTTACCATTGGTTTGATTGATCTGATGGAATACAGCAACCTAGCAAATGGGCAATCTGCCAAATAAGTGCCTCCCTGGAGGACTTTCTACGAGAAACTCGCTCCTACTTGCAAGTTAGATGTTAGAAGAAAACCAGAAACATTCCATATGACCTGCCTATTGTTCAGGCGCGAAACCGTGACCTCTGCTCAGCTCAGTGGTTTTATCCACTATATCACTGGTGGCACTTTTGGTTTAGAAAGAAAGTAGAACCAAACTATGAACTTAGTTATCTGTGAGTAGAAACCCGCATAATTGAGACAATGATAGGAAATGAGTCCTAATTTCCTCTTTAATTTTCACTCCAAATATTAAATGTTCTTTCTAATTTTAAAACCCTTAGACCTAAATCCCCACTCGTCCGGGTTCGATCCCGGATCACTTAAAGTGGGATGCCATTCGAAAGCATATTATATATTTGTGCATAAATATTATACACTTTTATGTCAATTTTTATTTAATTATACTAAATCTTTTACTTACTGATATTCTTTTTGAAAGTCGTAAGAGCCGTCTCGTCCCATAGAAATTCTTCGTTATCTTCCAAAAATATTGAATTTTTTATATTCATTCTTGTAGTAAAATACTATAAGAATTTAAAAATAAAACAGTCAGGTGTTAACAACGGTTGACAATGAACAATGGAACAACAACGGATCGTGTTAAAATGTCATTAAACTCATCAAAATTCACGTCGAATTATATCCTTTGTGTTAATTGTCTTTAAAACTGTAAACATATCTTGTTAAATAAACATTAACATGATATTAAAATAATTTTAATTAATTAATTATTTAGTTTTTTTTTTACTTTTTAACACGTCCTTTCATCAGTAACAATAGCTAAGTTACTGTTTTAATTAAACAATGCTATCAATACTTGGCAAATTCTCCACTGCAGTAAGTAACGTAATAACAAATAAGTACTCACTTGTACAAATAATTATGTAGTTGACACTCGTTCACGGGTTAAGCTGCATTTAAATGTTGTGTCTAATAATAATATAAGCTACTGTTTTCGCAAACACGAGAGTGGAAGTAAGGAAAACCGATGTATATCACTTGACCTAGTTAACATCATTGATGATGTAAGAGTATCTTTAACCAATTATAATATTAGAGGAGAATAAGTATAGAGTGGTTATTTGTATATTTAAATAACGAATTCTTCTTATAATTTTCTTAATTAGAATTACTTTTTTGTTAGGATTTTTGTATTCTTTTCCTTTAATTACTACAATACTATTTTAGGCAGAGGTTAATGGCCTTTTAACTCGATTCCTTGCTCATTGAATTCATTGATTCAATGGATTCAATTAGCTTTAAATTGTATTGATGTTGCTTGTATTAATGATGATAAATTTAAAATTATTGATTTAGTTTAATTTTATGTAAATATTATATTTTAAAAATATGGAAAAACCTTTCTAATATCTTCTATTCATCCTAGAAATCTCCTTAAATAATAAATTTATGGAGGATGTAATTACAATGATCATCATTGTTCACATCAATCATCATTGTGGAAGATTTATAGGTGATTATTACAGGGATTATTAATTAATTATCATTATTATTATTATTATTATTAAGTGACTCATATTTTACGTCATTCCTAGTGTTTAGTTAATTATTTCTACTTCATTTTTTTTATGTGTAAGTATTTTATTATTTACCAAATTAAGCAATGTTTTTTTTATGAAAATTTCAGGGAAAATAATATAGAATAATATAGAAGTTTGCTTAATTATTTCCTATATAAATTGCAAATATTAATTCATTAATACTATTTTCTTAGTATTAGTTGGTTAAAGGTCAACTGATTATTGGAGGAATGAATACCACAGAGAAAGGATGTTCAGTTGTGTGGGATATTAACATAAATTGGGAACATACTTGAGAAGAACTATTCTTAATTACTAGAAATTTGTCAGCGACAATTAACTAAAGTTAGTAAATTAGTGCTGGCGTACAAAATTTGCAGAAATATAACGTAGTATTATTGTACTGATGATCAATCTTTGTTACAATGAAAATATCTGAAGGAATTGTTTGTGTGCTTCGACAAAACATCTGGACAATTAGACAAAGGGAGGACTTCGTACGGGAAACTGGGCCCCATACAAACGTGAAGAAAACCCCACATGGTGAGGTGCAAGCTCACGACTGGTAGTTCTTCCCAAACAACCCGTGCTAAGTACTTTTATCCACTGGTGGTCCTGAAGAAACTGACATTTAAATAGGATCTCTCCCCTTTTAATTAAGTGTGGCATGTTAAAAACATAATATTGATGCGTGTAACATTCACAAAACGCTAAAAAAAATATATTTTTGTTTGCATAAAAACATTAATTTTTCAGATGACAAACACTGTCCTTTCATAATTTATTCGTGGCCAATTAATTTATATTATTATTTAAAATTAGGTCATGAATTTATAACAAATTACTATTTTTATTTGCATGAAATATTTATATTTACTTGGTAATTTATTACCTTAACTATTTATATTTTGACTTTAAAATATCCTTTTCATTGCAGTTTTGTATTTATAGTGAAGTGTAACCAAATTAAATAAAGCGGGTTCATTATAAATTTAACCTAATTAAATACAAATATTATAATATCAAATGGAAATAATCAATATAAAATTTTTTATTTAGCATTTATAAAATTAGCGTGAGTTTCAAAAATATTTTTATAGATTATACATGATTTTTATATTCAGGCTGTTTGTTTGTTTGTATATGGCAACACGATACATTGGTACAGAAGGATAATGCCCCTTGAAAGACTTTCTATGGGAAACTTAGGAAATACGTGAAGAAAACACGGAAAACTCCACATGGTCAGCTCGTTGATGAGGCTCGAACTTATGACCTACTATCAGTGTTCAGTGGTTTTATCCACTTGGCCACTGAAGAGCTTAACAAGCACTGATAGATGGGACCGGGGCCATAGCCCAAACCAAATTTCGGTGGCTCTAAACGTTTATAGTATGAAGACCCAGATACAAAAGGTCCCCAAAGATAAGTTTCTACATAAAAACATGGTACTGAAATGATACAAATTATGCTTTCTTTCGATAAGCAGTGAACTTGTTTAGGCCCATCCAATCTCTGTTATCCTGTTCTTAAGTACACAGAAAATACTGGATGTTAGTAGTGTGAATCGTATTTCCAAAAAATTTAAAGTTGTTGCATCAACATAATTATTTTCTATACATAAGATGTGATATGATGCTTATCTCGAATTATTTACATATTATACACTATTTAATTAGCATTAATTTATTTTGGAAAATTACAGTTAATTTCTTGTAAATAGGTCATATTTATAAAAGAATTTGCCACGTAAAGTGAAATAATTATAAACAGGAGTTCTTTAAACTAAATAAACAAATTTAATTAAACAAATACCATCAAGTTTTCAAACAAAATTACAGTATTAATAAATATAATAGGGCATACACTTTTCAAAGCCAATACACGGCTCTATTATCCTGTTTTGTCTGTCATATTGTGTTTACGTTGCTTAAAATTGCTTTTTTACTTATATATTATTGAAATAACGGTTTAATTGTTGTGATTTCAGTGTAATGCCGATAGTAAATAGGTACAGTGTGTCCCAAAAGTATAGTATATATATATATATATTAACTTTCTTATCAAGTAGTCTAATAATTTGAATATTGAATCAAAACTTTCCAAAATTCCACATGGAAGAGAGTTAAGTTTAGAAATTAAAAGCAGGAGGCTCTAGTGTTATGGAAATTGCTGTTTTAATGAACAGATCTATTCTTGGAATTTGTAAAATTTTAGGAAATTCATCACCAAAACCTTCTAAACATCGATCAGGAAGATCAAAAATCACGTCTCTAAGGGATAATAATCGAATTGTGCGCCTTGCATCACAACAGGAAAAATCGAATGGTCAAATTTTGTTTGAAACTGAATTAAAAATATCAAAATAGCACTGTTCATCGAAGAATTTCAGCAGCTTTACATATGAAATCTGCTGCTATAATGAAAAATCCACCATTAACAAAACCACACAAATTGGTAAGAATGCAGTGGGCTAAAGATCACACGTTATGGAATGACCATGGCTCTCAGTTCTTTTCAGTGATGAAAAGAAATTTAGTTTAGATAGCCCGGATGGATGGGCTCATTACTGGCATGATATTAGGAAAGAGCGCAGTTTTTTCAGCATGCATCGCGGTGGTGGTTCTGTTATTGTGTGGGCTGCTTTGGATTTAATGGTTTATCAAATTTAGTGATTTTAACTGGTAAACAGACATCTAAAAGTTATCAAGAAATACTAAAAAATAATTTATTACCTTTTGAAAAAGAAATTGGAGAGTGAACAATGCCAGTATTCATTGTTCACTCTCAACAAATAGATGGCTCGAAGATCATAGTGTTCAAATTATGAAGCCTCCATCAAGAAGCCCGGACATAAATCCGATTGAGCGCTTGTGGGGCATTTTTACTCGAAACATTTATGCTAATAACAGTCATTTTACAACAGTTTCAGAACTTGAACATGAATTTATTGAATGCTGGTTTCAAGTGGATCCAGAAATCTTACACAATTTAATTAAATCAATGTCTAATCGCATGTTTAAACTTACCTATATTTTTGGGACACGTTATAGCTATAGTTTACTCCATGTTTTATCATTTTCTTCTTCATGTAATGAAGTTTTTCAGTGATTTTAATCCTAATTGTTCACTCTCAGAACAAAATTTAAATTTGAAGTTTTATGTATTATTGCATTTACTTTTAATAATTTAATAAATACGACATGTTTTTATTCTTATTTCTGTAAAAAATTACAATACTCTCGAACTTTTAGCAACTAGTCGGACATTTTGAGAAAGTCTACCAGTGGCTGAGTGGGTTAAACCACTGATCTCTAGTGATCGCGGGTTCGAGCCTTATCGGCGTGCCTTCATGTGTCTAACATTTAAATAAGGGCCCTTGAAAGTCCTCCTGGGAGGCACTCCCATCAATTTACTCCTCCATTTTTGAGAATTCGAAGTCCTCTCAGAAAACTAGAGTGTTTGACTTTTTTTCACATCTGAAGACAGCAGAATTACTTCTGTTCAATTCTTCTCTCGTTATGTATTCATCAGATAGAATTATAGACTATGCATAAAAAAGAAAATTTTATAATATCAGATACAATTATCAAGATTTAACAATGATTTGTCAGTTTTCTAGGATTCTTCCCTGGTTCTTCGTTCATATTACTATGAGATAGAAACTTTCGTGTACTCTAACATTCAGACAGACACTTATTCACTGGCGTGCCGTCATTGGATGCGCTGCTTCCCTTGTATTTTCTAAAAAATAAATACATATTAATTTTAATTATATGAAAATAATCTCACAATATTTTATTATAACCGCATTATGTATCTTATTACAAATTTCTATACTACACGTGAAAAAAAAAGATAAGATCGCTATTGTATATTCGAATATTAGTGGCGGAGTGGAAGCGCTGTATCGTCAGCATCCAAAAACCAGATTCGCTACGCAGAAAAACCAGCGATATTATGATTTCGTATGTCCCATCTGTAAGGGGATGTAGTAAAAAAACGTGTACAATTCTTGTATAATGTTAAAAAATTAACCGTTACTTTGGTAGCATCATTTACAACTAAATTTAATAAATGAGAGAGATGCACCAGGTACAGAAAAAGCTCTAGAATTTATTTTCCTTAAATTTACGATTTATGTATCCTTTTGACATAAAAATTTGTCTTTCCACTTTTTTCCCGAGACTACAAATATTCGAGTACAAAGTAACCGGTTTCGACTTATTTCTACTTAAGAAGTAGTTAAATAATTAAGCGATTAGGGAATTGGGAACATAAACAAACCCTGATGAAAGAGCCGAAATTTTACTTAAAAGCTTAACCGAACCATCTCTAGCCGAGTACAGTGGAAACTGATTTCTTCAAAATATTAGACTTAATAAATACAGAAATTTTTCCGGTTCAACGAGAGTGACCGAAAAGTTGTAAATTTTGTAAATTTCCATGGACCTAAAACGAATTAGTTAGAAAACAAATGACTATTAAGTTTAACATATTTAGATTTTTACAGCTATGGTAAGAAACGTTTAAAATTTACAACAACTCCGTCGCGTCCTTTGGGATATACTAGTGATGGGACAAAAGAGGCATTTGACATTGACTGGTATCGGCACCCTGGGGATTTGGCAGTCTGAGTGTATGCACGCCCTGCAATCGTCTTCGATTCCATCCATTAGCCACTCCAGGGAGCTATTTGACTAAGCGCATTGTTTTAAGATTTAAAAAGTAAAGAATATTTTATATTTTTATGTACAGTACGCTTCTTTACAAAGCTATATTTAATTATAATTTTCTTTAAAAGTATATTCAAACAATTGAAGAATATTTTGTACCAGGCATGTATGTCCACCACACATTTTATTTCACCGAGTAAGTTTTTATTATTTTATTTTTAATTGCCCTTATACCGTGGCTAGCGATTCGGAATGTAATTGTGATATTAAAAATACATTTAGAGAAGTCTACGATTTTTACTGGCTTATCGAATAAACGATACGAATGGACTCTAGACCAGGGGTGGCCAACATATGGCCTGCGGGCCGGATCTGGCCCGTCTAATGAATTTATGCGGCCTGCGATTAATCTTTCAATATTAGCTACTTAAGTCCGAACAGCTCGACGAAAAATTTTGATGCCTAAAAAGAAAGGTCAACAACTCACTGTGCGTTCAGAGCTAACGCTCCATTACAAATGTCTTAAGCACAGCGTAGAATGTCGATAATGCATAATCATGTGAAAAATGTAGCCTATGTGTAATCTCAGTACAGTTTAGTCTCTACAGGGTGACACCACAATGAGATCTCGCACCACCTGAAAGTCTTCCTATGGCAGCCTCTGGTTCGGCCAGTGAAAAAAGTATTCTTTCCAATTCTGCCCGGAGGCAAAAACTGTTGGCCACCCCTGCCCTAGACCATCACTGACGCGAAATTGACTGATTGCCCCTGGATGTCGGCTTTTTACAGAAACACAGCTTCCCTATCATCAAATGTCAGGGCACGCCACTGCACTTATTCATATATTATACATAATATGATGTGATACAAGTGGCATTAAGGATGACATAAACACATTTAATTATTATTATTAACTCTCTTCGCGTTGGCACTAAGAGCGCCTCTTTTAGCAAGCCCATTATGAGTTCGGCCAGGCCCACAATGAGACGGCCGGGTGATAAGGAGACACGTCCAATTATTGTAAGATTCACAGTATTGTATTTGAAGAATACTTTACACCATAAGAACTGTGAACTGAATACTTTACATTCGTTGAATACTTTACATTACATGTGATACTTTACATTCGTTCTTTCTTCCCAGGCTATTCGAATCTTGAGGTGTCTTTATTAATTGGAGAACAATACTTCAAATATTTATAATAAGATTATTATTTAAATTGGAATAATTTATCTTTTACGCACTTTGCTGTAATTGCAGATAATAAAAATATCAGTAACTCACTTTAAACATGTATAAATTTTATTTTTTAATCTACAGTATATACAGAATCTCGTGAATACATTCTAGTTTACACGTATGATTATCATAATTAATAAAAATGATTTTATTTTTATAACAAAAATTAGAAATTATGTATTTATCACTTTCAGAAAATACATTTTACAATATAAACTGTACATGATATCAATTATAAATCAAAATAATGATTAACGCAAGGCACCAGCACCTTACCGGAATACTTATGTCCGTTACGAACAACCTGGCCCATAATGGGCTCAACTAGTATGGATGAGGGATGGAAGATGCCTCAATCCATCGCCATAGCCATGATGAATTATGAAGTTCTGAATTGGGTTTCGAATTGGGAAACTTATTAAGTTAGCTTAAAAGTGTGGCAATGCTTTTCATCATTAAAAATTTTATTTTTAATTGTTAGCTCTACAAAATGGTTAATTAAAGCCAATGTTCTATAGGATTTTATGCACTCAAAGAAATAAATTACTTAGTTTTGTTTCTACTCTTCATTATCACTTAAATGATTTATATTATAGCTTTACATACATAAAACTTTGTGTAATATGTAATAAAAACTACAATATTATTTATGTTAGGCCATTAAATGAATAATATATTCATTTAATACATTAAAATAATACATTGCAGAGTATGTATTCCCAATTTCATAATAATAGGAAAATCAGATTCATCTTATGAGGATCGAACCCTTTCAGCGAGAGCATAATACACTTCCATGCTATCTCGTGGGTAATCAAAACTAGAAACTTTGTACCGTATTTCCGTATAACCCACTGAAAACTTTTACCTAGCCCTGCATGTACAGTACTTTGTGGTGAGCCCTGCATATACTATGTGGTGAGCCCTACAGTATACGCCACACTTATAGGTTAGCCATTAATGCGTAGGCATAAGTTCATAATTTCCGTTTGTGGGCCTGGCCAAACCCTTAATGGGCTTGATAAAAAAAAAAGGCCCTCTTAAATGCCCACAGAGCATAGCGGGGGCCCCGTGCTCTTTCAAAATTGATTCAACACGGATAATCCGCGGGTTATACACTCGAAAATACTGTATTCCTTAATATAAATCAAACCATAAGGTTTTTCAAATAGTCTTTTCATGTTCTATGTGAATGTTTACATGAATTGCATCTTTCTTTTTTTAAAATCATTGATGTTCTGAAAGTTTTGAGTATTTAAAAATATTAAATACAAATTTTTTAAATTATAAAAAAAATAATAAATTAATGTTCATTATTCCAGTGTTTTTCACGTTCTTCAAAAAACGTTTGATACTCATTTAATAACGTGGTATTAAAAGAAGGATCGAAGGGAGGTAATTCTCCACCATAGTCTTCAGGTAAATATTTTGGATGAATAACTTTATGTAGTGATTCAAAAGTAGAATGCATATGAATCTAAAATGAAAAAATATATATATATGTACATGTATATAATTTAAATACATACATAATTTAAATATACAGTGAAACCTTGATTTATCATCACCCTGTGAAATCGTTCTTAAATCGAATGTGGCACTAAATTGAAAGAACTCCAAACAGTAAGAATTTTACGAATGATGCTATATCGAGGTTTGACTGTATATAATTTTACTTACTCTCTTTTTCATTTTATATGGAAGAAATGGTAGGAATGCTGCTAAAAATGCATGGACTAATGCTCCTAAGTTAACCACATGTATCGCTTTGTAACGTACAGGATAAGCATCCTATTAAGTATATTATGTAAGTAAATTTAAGTCATTACTTTTAATTTAATAAAGTCTTTCAAATAAAAGGAATCGATCAAATATAAACAGGAATATTTATTTTAAAAATTACAATTTTTGTTTGTTTAGATACTCATTAAGAAATCTAAGATTACCAAAAGAAACGATGGGTATGAGTACCCTGTGGGCACTAAAAGGGCATTTTTTTCAAAAAGGGACATAATTTTCAGACGTAGATTTTAGATAAATTTAAGTTTCTAGATGTAGTTTCATCACTTTATAGGTTAATGCTAAATGAAGTTTCTTTCTTTGATAATTCTCATGAATCATCTGACTGCCAGCAAAGACTGTGTGATCTTGTTTGGAAACCATGTGCTTCTATGATGAGGTATTCTTAAAATATATTTTTGATCAAAGGAATTTACTCAAGAACATCAAAAACAATTTTAAAAATGCTTTGAATTATAGGTTTATTAATAAAATTGATGAATCTTTCTCAGAAAATCTCCTTTACATAATTCCACAGATGGCAATCAGAATTGAGACAAAAGAAAGAAATTCCTGTTTATATTATATAAATACACTTCCTGTTTAATGTAATAATTTATAAAATATTAATTTATTTATTCATGATATAAATCAGTAAAGAATTAAATGTTATTACTTACGAAAAGTATAGTTGAAACCGAATAAACAACGGATGGAGTAAGTTGAATTATATGTCTCCAAGATAACTTCTTAGCATCAAGAATAATGCTTATACCATTTATCTGCATCAAAGGATTGATAAGTAGTAAATCAATGTGCACCAACATACAACGTAAAATATCTTTAATGCAAGTCACAGAAGTATCCCAGTGAGCTATTTTTAAAATAATATACAATATAATGTAAACAATACAGTAATATAAAATAATACAGTCAAATTCCTGAACAATGATTCAAGAATTTGACTGTATTTATTTAATTAAATTCAGCTTACTGAATTAATTTAAGATACTGATTTTAAAATGAGGTATGTTTTAACTCCTTTATTAAGAATTGCATTGTTACAAATAAATTAATTATGAAATCCTTGCCAGTTTACCTTATCTAGAACTATTAATTAGTGTTTGCAATGAAACACTGCTGATTATTATCCAAAATTAATTCATTAATATACAAGGCTATTCAAAATGATTGTATCAGTTTTGATTCCTCCACAGCACATCTGTATTAACAGTTTCCATGGAGGTTCTGATATTCCTGGGAAGAGGAGGGACATATAGGCCTACTTGAACTTTTAGATACCCTCAAAGAAAGAAATTGTAGGGAGTTAAATTAGGGGATCGAGGGCATTTTACCAAAGTAGCCACTTGTAAGTCAAATGCCTAACTACATAAATGCGAGAAGTATGAAAAAACTTTGGGTTTTTCTATCTATTGATGCAGGTATCAATACTGTCAGTGAGATAATAATGAAACTATGAATAATATATTCATCGAGTGTATAAGTGTACTAAGAAATAAATTACTGAAAGATTATGAACCTTGTCACCTCTTAAAGAAAAAAATAAGAACCAGAAAGAAAAAAGTGGTTGTTCTGAATAACATCCAAACCTTCAACGTATTAACTGTTTAAGTGTAAATATAAGACAAAAGTCTCCTTATAAAACACAGATCACCTGAAGAAATGTACAGTATGAAGTTTCATTGTGGTCATCATCCAGAAAAGGTTACTCATCACTGACTGATATCCTTCTGAAAACTTAAGCAGAAACTAACATTTTGCTATAATTTTAAGATTTTCATGCTGTATTTTATTAAATTTAAACTTTATATAAGTTTCTCTGCTTTTTTATACATTAAAATAATACATTGCAGAGTATGTATTCCCAATTTCATAATAATAGGAAAATCAGATTCATCTTATGAGGATCGAACCCTTTCAGCGAGAGCATAATACACTTCCATGCTATCTCGTGGGTAATCAAAACTAGAAACTTTGTACCGTATTTCCGTATAACCCACTGAAAACTTTTACCTAGCCCTGCATGTACAGTACTTTGTGGTGAGCCCTGCATATACTATGTGGTGAGCCCTACAGTATACGCCACACTTATAGGTTAGCCATTAATGCGTAGGCATAAGTTCATAATTTCCGTTTGTGGGCCTGGCCAAACCCTTAATGGGCTTGATAAAAAAAAGGCCCTCTTAAATGCCCACAGAGCATAGCGGGGGCCCCTTTCGTGTACTCTAACATTCAGACAGACACTTATTCACTGCGCGCATATGCTAATTTCACTTGATTCCAACAGCTGTCGCTCCAGTATTACAGCACCTTAGTGAGGATGTATAACCTGTAAATGGGATGGCGCGGTGGCAATCCTTAGTAGTACTTTGAACGCTCATAATTATTTGGAGTTATTGGAATCTAGTCTTAAAACACCTGCAGATCATAAAGTAAATTATCATATGGCTTTCAATAAAAATATTTTAAGTACAGTAGACCCCTTATAAAGCTTAGATACGTTCCACGTTGTTCGAATTTTACATTGTAGGAATCATTAAATACATGATCCAATCGCATCCCGATACGTGTGAAGTTTACGGACTAAGGCTGTTTGAAAGGTTTTCTTCTATAAAATTAACTGATTCTAGACTAATTCCACTCAACATTTCCAAAACACGTATAATTTTTTGGGAATAATCCGTATAAACTATGCTATAAACAAAACATTGTAGGATTACTTACCGAGTGTGCACCGTTCGATTACGCCGTTGCTCAAGCTTGTTTTCGTCACGGAACAGCGCACGAAACGGCGGCCGCGATTTCTGATAACAAATTTTTCGCAGAAAAATAACTTGACTTTTGGAGACATCATTAATATAAATAATTTTTATGGCCGTTGAATAAGAAATGTTTCTTTCACAAGAAATGTATAAAATTAGT